GGTCGAAAGGTTATCACAAAATTAAAGCATGGAGCACAGTTTGGACATACAAAATACTATGGGGTAAAGCTTCTCTTTGAGAATTTTTTTTTTTTTTTAATTTATGTGAAAAAAAATCATAGCCAGGGTAAGAAGAGCCTAAATCTGGAGCATGTTTCTACTTTCATGCATGAACTTACGTGTTGTATCTGGTGAAACACTGGAACAAGCTGCAGGTGCCCCATGCTTGGATACATTCAAGGGCAGGCTGGGTGAGGCTCTGAACAACCCGATCTAGCTGAAGGAGCTCATTACAGGGGGAGTCAGACCAGATGATCTTTAAAGGTCCCTTCCAACCCAAACAATTCCATGATTCTATGTTCCATTTTCCCTATAGTATTATTTAAAGGTAAAATTTAACTTGAGAGGGGAGGAGGAAAGGGATCTTTACATGGAACGGAGAACTCTTCCTATTTCTTAACTCTAGAAACTGCATTTTAGAAAGCTCAAATTTCTTCTGGCTAAACAGCACATATTAATATCTCAGGATATATGGAAACAAAACAGAGATTTTCTTAAAAAGGCAGAGAACCTCATAACAACAACCAGCACATTCTGCACACATCTACCTCCATTTACTTTCTCAAAAGTAATATCCTACATGATTTTTTATCTCATTTGTTTTCCATTCTCTAATGAATTCAATTGATATTCCTGATACAAACACTGAAGCTACAGATATGTAGAAAAATGAGGGGTCGCTGTTAAGCATGTTACACACTTCCCAAAAAATTTGGAGGCACAAGATGCGATAAACTTAAAATAAAGGCAGCATGAAACACTGGTGATTTGTTCCAGCTCACCAAGCACAGGATCACACTTAGTGATTCACCAGAATGACAGTTTCTATGAGCTCACTGATAGTAAAACATCTGCTGCCACAACACCTGGAATTTGTCCTACTTTGCAAACAGAAAACTAATGCAGCCCAGCCAATACCAAGGAAGCTTTCAAAAGAAGTAATTATACAATAAGCCAGGATTTCTGTGTCTCTGACAGAAGTTAGTAGTTCTTTCTAACCATGTGATTGGCAGATAGTGAAAATATACTCCCACACACCAAAAAAGTTTTGATGATTGTGATGAAACACCACACTACAAAAAAGTGTTGCAAAATATAGTTTTGTTTTGATATGTGATTTCTAAAAGGAATTACCCATTATTTCTTGTGAAGAGATTGTCTCAGTCTTTCCACTATCCAAGGTTTCACAACCATATGATAAATGAAAAATATTTCATAATGATGCAATGGATGTAGCTTTCCATCGTACTAATTTTTCTGGTTTTCTGTTATTTCTTTGAAACACAGGTGGTTTTCCTTAATTATTTAACTTCTAAGATTGAAAAAAAAAAATCTCTATTAAATCTAGTAGCATTTTTAAAGTAAAATTTAAATATTTGTCCCAAAGCAGACAGCACGCTATTCATTCCTTTAAATAAGCTTATGTTGGCAATAAAAATCCAGATAGAGAAGTGTAAATGGTGGTGTAATGCCTGAGGGAATATTGAATTCAGTTGTGAAACAATAAAATTCCTTTCCCTTGCGAGTCTGATTAAAGGCTTTTGGGTTTTGTACAACAGCCATGAGTAATGCATACAAGTGACTTTTTTACTGCCTGAGATTCTCCTCATGCACATCTCTTATTTCTTCAAGATAATTCAGACAATCAGCAAGGCAAAGACAATGGATCACATTGTTCTTAGTGTTAAACAGATAATCAATAGTCTAAAGCAATAAAATTAAATGCTTGAGCTTTATTAAACTTGGGAGACTGCTGGTGAGTAGCTGGAAAATAAAACGACATTAAAAGTCAATTAGCATAATCATTATAGCAAAATATTTGCTTTTAGTTCCACTACAATACTGAATTATAATGTAAAATAAGTGAGCCTGTAAACTCATTGTTACAACCATGTGAGTATTATATATCCATTTAACACCAATAAGAATAAAAATTTGTAATGCAGATGCAGACTGAGGCAATCTACATGAAAATCCAATAGAAGTTTGGCCATATCAATGAACTGAAGAAAACAAAGCCCAGCTCATTATACGGCTTTGTTTCAGTTGTTCTTTTATGTTCCAGAAATTCCTAGGTGATTAGAGGTTAGTATGTGCCATGCACTCCTGAGCCACACAAGTTATTAAGATATGCAAGTAGTCCATTAACATATATTAATTGGAACTGCTTACTGTGCACAAATAAATTATACAATTAAGCATTTTAACAGATTTAAGCGAAATGTTTAACACTACAGGCTTGAGACCCAAAGGCTGCAGATCTCAGATAACTCCCCAATACATTGCTTACACTTCTTTTTATAGTTGGTTATTGAAAAAATGTTAAAGTCACTGAAGTGAACAAGTCCTACTATGTTTAAGATTGGAATTCAATTTGAATTGAATCACCTGGAGTAAATTTATATATATATATATATATATTAAAAAAAGCAGCCAAAAAAGGCTTCACTTTATACACTTAAAGTATACCCAGCTATATATTAAACCTTTAATAAGCTTCAGTCTTTGCAGGTTTATTTCTACTGCCTGTAAAATCAAAAACTGAAGCTTGAGAGTGACAAGGATTAATCTGTTTGGGGTAAGATTAAATGTGAAGTTCTTGTGTCAAATATGCTTTTGTATCTTCTTCGTGAATCTAGCTTTTCGAAACATCTGGCTCTTCAAGAGATACTTCTATCCATATCCAGATATTGTGCAATGCTACATAAATAATAATACATATAATCCACATGAGAAATAGCTGTAGAGGTCTCCGGGGAGATCCCAGAAAATGGTGGCTATAGAGGATGCTGTGGTTCAGGAGGGGTTACAGCATCACAGAATCAAAGAATGGGTCAGGTTGGAAGGGATCACAGTGGGTCATCTGCTCCAACCTCTCTGCTCAAGCAGGGTCAGGATGCTGCCTTCTCAGTCTAGATGCCGTTGCTGACAAGTAGTGGAAAATATTAACCTCCCCACTCAAAACTGAAGCAATTCTTTTAGCTAGATACATTAAAGTTCCTTTTACAGAATAAAATGAAGTTTTAGATTTAAATCAGCGTGAAGAAAATGCACCTTCCAAGGATTTGAAAAGTGACATAAAGACAGCAAAATAGGTTTTAGTGTGTTCCACCAAACAAGGGAAGTATCAGCATTGATAACAGGGATCTCCAGTCATGCACCAAAATGGGACACCTGCTCTTGCAAAATTCATTGTAAAACTGCGGAAACTTGACTTTCCATAAAGGTTTTCCCTCTTCTGCCAAAATTTTTATTCAAATGGAGATTTTAAGTTCTATTGTGGGCCTTTGTTTAACAATTAATTCAAGGATTTACCAGACGCTTTATTCAGTCATTTCATCATCTCCAGCAACACAGACAGATTAGGTTAGGTCAATCTGAACCTTGTAAAATAGACAGATATGGTTTTCATTAAAACACATTTACCTCAATGCTGAAAACACCTGTAAAATTCAGATGAGAAAAGTTCTGGAAAAAAGCTTTCTTAATTTAAACATTAGAATTTGCAGTATTGCTACTATTCTTTTTTTATTTTTTTTTCTTTTTGGTAATAGTGGATAGTGCTGATCACTGCATCGCAAATTTCTTTCTTTCTTTTAAAATTAAAGTATTTTAGCTTTGCTACCATAATTCTTACTTACAGGTTTAAGTTAAGGCATAAGTGCTATATATAATTAATACTATTCTTGATGTCATATGCAATTTTAGTTGACTTAACTTCCCTGGATTGGTGCAGAAGAGGGAGGGAAGTGAGTTAATAGTAACTTTTCCCAGACTTCTCATTGAGTGAATAGTAGAATCTTACTTTTACATATTTATATGGACAGAAGCTTTAAATTCATCAAGTGTGTAGGAATTATATTTTCATTACTTAAAAAATAAACATAAACACTATCGATCAAAATATTTCTATTAACATTTTTCTCTGATGAGGCTCTACTAATTCATTGTCAGTCATGGTCCTCCTACGTCACAGCAGAGCTCTTGAAAATCACCTAGTCTTGAGACACTGCAGTGCTGTGCTTATCCCCCATTTAGTAACTTGAAGACCTGTCTCAAAACAGAAAATTGCTATTTCGCCCCTCCCCAAATATTCACTGCAGAAGTCATCATCATCAGGATTAGCATTTTCATCATTTGTTGTATCTGTGGTTTTAAAAAGGAAACTCATTTGTATCTCAGGTGTTACCATGGATTTCACATCATGCTCCATTTTTCTTCCTTGGTCTGGACATCATCATTTCTTACCTCCTCAGACTCTGGGATTCAGCTTGTCAGTGCTCCTCACTGCTCAGTTTTCCTGCTGAGGCCCAGAGAGATCATGTTTAACTCTCACTAGTCATTATTCATCTCTTCAGTCTGTGCTCTTTCTCTGTTCTAGTTTGACCTCTGAGAGCAGTCAGTCCAATGGCCTCCCTGCCTGCCACAGCTCTCTCACTCTCATACACTGATGTTTGCCTTTTTTCTTATTTTTTCCCCCCTCTCTCTTTTATTTTTTTTTTAATTTTTTTAACCCCTGCCTATTACTCCCTGCTTGGGATGCCTCCATTTCTTTCCTAAAAAATCATGGGCTGCTTTTACTCACTTCCAAACACACCCTGAAAATCTCCTCATATGCAAGCTGGAGTTTCAGTGCTTGACTTCCAAAGAGCTTCCTTCATCTTCCCAAGTTGTCAAGTCTCTCATCATCAGTATTAACTGTCAGTGGGAAAAGCACACATCCTTTTTCTTTTTTGTAATGTCAGGGCTTAGACAGTTTTCCTGCAAATCTTCACTGAAGAAAGGGTTGTGTATTTGTCTGGCTCATGAACAGACAGGTCAGACTGCATCCTTACTACTGGAAGCTCTACATGGGTAACATGCACTTTACAGAAACAGAGCACAGGATATAATTCCATAGTTATGAAATCTGCATGGTTCTCAGTTTTAGAAAAGCTTACCTTACACAGTTTTCCAGAAGACTTCCAGGCAATGCATCTCTTTGCCTTTGGATCTCCTTGCTACACTAAGTGATTGTTTTTAAAGTTCAAAAAGACTAAAAGTGGTAGAAAATTAAAGATAAGAGAAAAATAATCACTTATTATTCATTCAGATTCAGTTGTGTCTCACTTTCATACTATGTCTTCTACTCTCACTAAAAGCAAAAAGATGATATTCAGACAGCAAAATGGAGGAAGGAGAAATTTATATTTGTTTTCTAGAGATTAGCATGAGAGGAAGGAAGAGAAGAACATCATCAGAATAAGAAGCTATAGAGTAGTATCATTTCAATATATGTCTTTTTTCTTTAAAATATCACTGAGGCTGGTTATTCACATTCTGCCCATCCTCAAAAGCAACCAAACAACCCTAATTATGAAGAAGAATTAGTGAAACCAATCATCATTCTTCTACCGACAATCAACTGGTAAAAATAGCTTCAAATTTTGGCAAGCTGATAAAATATATCTTATGGACTCAGTGAGCTAATGCCTTCACATAATTGGAAAACAAGTAGGCTTAACAAGGAGTATTTAATTGAAGAAAGAGGAGAAAACAACAGTAGGAGAGTAAACAGGGCAATGTAGAATAATTAAACATTTTCTGAAAGCCAGCTCTATTTCAAAAGTGACTTGTCTCACTAAGGAATATAAAAAGGAAAAGAGCATCGGGCTGCTCCTCTCCTCCCACACTAACACCCTCCTCAGCACAGGCAACAGGATAAACTCAGGATCCTACCTTGGTGAGCCTGTTGTCAAACTGCTGCTGTTGGAAGAGCTGAACTGCCTTTCACGCCACTCCAGGTCGAGTTCCTCTCCTTTTAGAGCTCCCTCTCTCTCTGCCTGATACAACAAGTTGCTCTTTTTACATGGTTTTCTCCGGTTAGTGATTGCAGCTCTGACAAGACCTTGTGTTCCCCGTAACTCACATTGGTGAGTGCTCCAGCTCCAAAAATCTGACAGGTTTTTTGGTACTCTCACGGGCTGTGCATGGCACAAGTCTGCATGTCACTGTCTCTGATTATGTAAGAATAAATACACCCCTTATATACAACCAGCTAGCTCAGGTATGATTACACTTACATGGTTTTCTCCATATGAAGAACCTCTTGTTTTTTTAAATCAATTATTAGAGCACCTATATGAAAAGCCATGAAATTCAAAGTAAACATTTCAACTCTGTGATGCACATTGTTTTTCTTTCCACGTGTCAAAAGAATGCTTTTTTTTGGCCCCTGTAGTTTTCATCTTGAAAATACCTATCAGGAAATAATGACCAAATAAACAACTAAAGCATATTTTTTAAAGTAATCTTAATATTATTTGCACACGTAATTTTGGAGTTTGTTTGTGCTTCATATATCACCAAAATAGATATCTTGGCTCCAATGTTACTACCCCCAAAAGCATAGTGAAAATACAAAAAAACCTTTCTTCTTTTAGACTTATTCCTAAAACTGGAGGAAACTGAGAACACAGTCTACAGCCCCCATTCACTTCTCCAAATGAAGTCTGGGTTCTCTTTCCAGAAACATTAATTGTCATCCAATATACCAAATACGATATCCAATAATAATATCTAATGCTTAAGCAATGCTTGTGCACCAAGCACTGTCCAAAAACTCACTCACATGTGTAAGTATCAGTATCAAAAGAATAGAGAAAAAGATGTGGAAAATAAATTATCTAATCCAATCAGCTGACATAGATATAGAGACTGTTTGCTGATTTCAATTTCTGGTAACCTTAACTGAAAAAAAAAAAAAAATCTGTATTCTTGAGACTCCTTTAATAAAAAGCTGATAGGTAAAGAACATAACAAAAATACAATTCTGAGCTTTGAAGAAACAGCCCGTGATTTTGTAACCACAGCACAGCAAATGTATTTCAGTGGGAGGGGAAAAAAAAAGCCATCAAAAAACAGAAAGAAAACAAAAATGCATTTCAGTGGTTCAGTGTAAGATTTTTTTTTAGATGAAATTTAAGGCTATATTTTGGAATGGTTTGGCTAATGACTAAACCATGCCAATTTGCTTTCAAAGTGTTTCAATGAGACATTTTAAGAGTGAGGCTTGTTTTCCCCTGACACAGCACTTCAGATCATCTTCAGAAGAATTCCAAATCACATTTTTTAAAAAAAGAAGAAAGTTTAATTCTTGGCTTTAATAGTCCCTCATCAGTTTATTTTAAAGTGGATTTAGTGTTTTCTAGGAAACATCATTTTTTCCAAGGTACAACTCAGAGATGAAAATCAAGGAAGCATTAGAAAATAAATTGGAAGGCCCCCAGCAATTCTCCACCAAAAAAAAAAAAAAAGAAGTTAAATCTAGAATTCTAAGTTATTGTAAAAGACAATATAATAGAAAAAAAATATATAGCACAAGCAAAGGGAAAAATTCTTAGAGTCACACACGGTACAACTTACAAGTATCAACTTTATAAAAACTATACAAATGTAGAATTACTCCCTAACAAACATTTGTTAAGTCGTTTGTGCAGATATTTGTGATAGTCACAAATATGTCAAATTAAGGTACATTTTTAATTTTTTTTGTTCCTATTTCATCACCTAACAAGCCTAGTTCATGGGAAATCCTTCAAGACATTATTTTGCTCATTTTCATCCTTTAAAACATATTCATAGCCCTTAGACAATGAAATCCATTTACCAATTTATTAGAACTCTTAACATAAACTAAATTGAACAAATTTAGCTAAGTTAATTTCATCTTCTAACCAGAATGAGCTTTTCCTTTCCTGCACAAAATAGCAAAGGATGTGCTCCTCAAAGTTTCCAAATTCAACAAACTCTTGTATGCCAGAGTAACAAAGAAAAAAGGTTCATAAACTGCTTGCATCACCCATACACTTACCTATCCATGGTTTCAGCCACAACATTCTTTCCACAAGACCTCTCCCACCTTTTCCAGCCCATCCTTCCTGTCTTTTCCCTCTCATGGGTCTCTTTAAATGTTTCCCAAACAAAAATGAAATACCTGTGCACACCAGCAGTAACTTAATCAGCATTTTCCATCAGTGATTCATCTCAAGAGTTTGGTCAAGAACTGGCAGCCCCTTTACTATCTTCTAGCTCTGGCTTTATTCATCCTATATGTCATATAGTGCAACTAAAAATAAATTCCAGGTTTTGAAAGAAAGAGAGTGTCCTGTAAAGGTAGCTCCCCACAACAAACTCCCACCCAAACCTGCCTTTCTATTGCCTAGAATAATGTCCTCCTACCTGCAAAAGCTCTTTAAAAAACCCCTAAAAATTCTCCTCTCTGATTTGTAAAGACCCTGAAGCTAATAAAAAATTAGTTTGCATTCAAAAATTCATTTCTGTATGTAAGGAATGTATGACGAAGCCTGGCTGAGAAACCAAGACCAAAATGATACAAAAGCACTACAGCTGTACTAAGGAGATACAAAGGTAGTATTTCTGAATTTAAGCACTCAATTAATTTTTTTTGGCTTTTCTGGAGTAAATGTGTTCAATAGGAAACTACTGTTTCTCTAAAATATATCTACTTTTTTAGTTAAACACTCAATTCTCTCCACAAAGTATTGCCTTAACAAAACATTATTGACCAACAGCTAAACAAAACATTATTGACCAACAGCTAAACATATACTTTGGTGGAGAAAGAACTGCCTTCTAAATTTATCATAGTTTTAATGAAAAACTTCTTTCTCTACTTCTGAGCAACAAGATAGGGCTTTATAACCAGCAGTAAACTTGCTGACATAATTACTTTGTATTCTAGCCTATTGGTACATGCACACACACAAAAAACCAAGCAAACCAAAAAAAAACCAAAAAAAAAACCAAACAAGAATAAAACAACACCAAAACCGAAAAACCACAAACCAAACCCACAAAAGCTTCACCAACTTTTTAAGTGTTATATTGAGTTTCTGACAAATTCCCTTCTGCCCCACATATACTTAGAGGCCTTTCAAATAGGATCAGGTGTGGCTGGGGTGAGTCATCCTTTACAAATCATTGATTAACGGGGTACAGGAGCACAAACAACACAGGCTGTTTCTGTCAGCAAGAAGAAAGTGTAAAAATAACAGAGAGAATATATCTGGAGTTGCCACCCTTTTCATATCCCCTACTGTTCCAGCAAGAACACAGATTTTACTGAAATACCACACTGGCTTTTTAGCAGTGGCAGGAGATCTCTCCACTCCTCCCTGCCCTTGGGGGAAATTAATCCTGAGGTTCGGACACCTACAACAGTTCAAAATTTTATGTGTACCTGAAGCCTCGTGCCACTAGAATGGATATTGTATATGCTTTCTGTGCTGTTCTTTCAGTTTATATTGAAGTCAATATTATCTGCATCACACAAAACAAATTGCACTATTTGAGTTTTGTGTTTCAATTTACACTTTAAATCGGAGGACAATTGTCAAGATTTCCTCTAATGTAGGAAGGTTGATTTGATGTCCAAGGAAGCACTTTTCCAAGTTCACGTTTCAAACAAAAATGCAAGTTTTCATATTGCCATAGCTGTTATGGTCTATGGATGTGAGTGGTACAAACTGCATTGAAGAGCTTGTATGTTTTACAGGCTCATCTTCTCACTCCTCAGCTGCACCAGTGGGTCCACTTTATCTTTCTGCATTGACTCTCTTAAAACCAAATGTCATATTATCTAGAAATTATATCTTCCATAGATCTCATTCTTTTTTTAGGCATGCTTTTTAAATTTTTTGTAGAAGCACCATCAAAACTATTTTCAGAATGACCTTTTAGTTTTCTTTATCAGAAGAAAAAAGTATACAGAAAACTAAAGACACCAGTGTCTGAATCAATTTTCTTCAACCTTCTTTTTACTCCTCATTTGGCAATAGGAACAGTTTCTCTCTGACACTTTGCTTTCCTCTGATAAACACTTCTGAAGTTTTTATTCTCTCCTATAGTTTTTGGAATGTACTAGCTCATTTAGCTTTTTCCTGACATTATCTTTCCCCTGCAGCCTTCACTAAGTGAATATATGTAGCTTTCCTATTTTTCACATTTTCTTCAAGCTCATTT